AGGACAGTTTCAGAACTTGATTAACATCACAAAAAAAGTGATGGATAACATTTGAAGCACAAAATGTGAGCCCATTCACCAAGAGCACATGCAGGAGGGAGTGGAGACAGGAGAAAGGGATGGTAAAGGACAGAAGCAACACACAGCATCTGTGGCTCATGACCGTGACATAGTGGAATGGATTGCAAATGGCTACATAACGATCAATGGCCATGGCTGCCAGGAGATAACTGTCTATGTTTCCAAAGACTAGGAAGAAATACATCTGTGTCAGACATTCAGCGTAGGTAACAGTCTTAGTTTCTGATAAGAAGTTCACCAGCATCTTGGGGACTATGACTGTTGTGTAGCAAATGTCAGCAAAAGACAATATGCTTAGAAAGAAATACATGGGATTTTGGAGCTTAGGATCAGAGTGGATGGCCAATATGATGAGCAAGTTTCCCATTACGGTGACCAGGTACATTATTAAAAAGAGGACAAATAGTGGTTTCTGGTCCTCAGGCTGAGACGAAAGTCCCAAGAGGATGAATTCTGATGGTCTTGTTACATTAAACACTCCCGTGGACTTGTGTGCACCTGGAGATAAACAATGTTGTCAATTAATGCTTCTTGTCATTTATAACATACGTCTTCTCACCTTATTCTCACACTGAGGAATGCTTAGTAGGGAATTTACTCAGATGTTTGCTTTTCTTCCTGAATATGCAAAACTCAGAGTCGAAAATGTGTTTTCACTTCTTTTTAAATCTTTGAGACAAAAATATATAGAAAACAGTTACAGGACTAGGGAGAGGAAGGAGGAGAGGAAAAAGAAGAGAGAGGAAGAGGGAGAGGGAGAGGGAGACGGAGAGAGAGGCATATCGATTCCTTTTCCTTGTTCTGTGACTAATAATCACAGGGACCACAGATTCAGCCTTGAATAGAGTTCAAATAACTTCTGATTAAAGATTATCATTGGCTAACCCACATCTAGATAATCATGAGTTAGCTATCTCAGCTAGTTTGTGGACCATCCTCTCAAACTGGAATATCATTTATAATGGCAGAATGTCATCTAAAGAATATTGGATTGAATTGTGATATCATCAAACATTTATTCTAATACTTGCACTTTTATAGGTGAAAACTTCCTGTGCCATGGAAAATACACACACATGCAGGAACATATATATAATTAGGGACTGTTGTTGTTGTTGTTATGTGCCGTCAAGTTGGACCGACTCATAGCGACACCTCCTTGGGTTGC